GAAAAATTAGCCTACTTGTAGACAGTTGCTGTAACTGTCTTTTCTCTTAATATTTGATCAGGATACATCTACCTCTTTAGCATGGACCATAGCGCAATTGTCAGAGGTCATATGAGATGCTTTGGTTTCAAGCTGATCAGTGGCTCCTTGATCTCTGTGGTAGCAGCCCTGGATGATCCATCGGGCAGGAAAGAGGAGCTCCTTAACACAGAAGGAGGAATCAGTTCTCCTCAGTACCTGTGTCCCCAACCATATTTCTTACCCTGCTCTCATTCCCTCAGGATCCCTGTGGCAGACTGCACCACCTTCATCTGTTTCCCATAAATTGTTTTTTGGACCTCCAGAGGTGACTCCTTTCAAATATACATGACTCAACCTGTAGATTTTTATGTCAACTCAATCCTTTTATTGATTTTTCTGTGGCAAGATGGCGACAGCGTGAGTGTTTGGTCAGGTTTTTCCATTAGCAGCAAAGAATACACACGGCCCTAGACCCAGGAAAGTCACCTTAAGGGTATCAGTTGTGTAACGCAAACTTTCTTTTCTTTTTGAAGGATCTCTAAGCTGTAGTTTTCTGTATGTATCTGAGCATTACTGGAAGTGTTTTCAGCTTCAATTATCAGTCAGGCAACAAACTAATTTGCCTGGTAATCAGTTCCAAAAGCAGCCAGTGCCTCTATTTCCACTTTCAGCCTTCGCAAAATTGAAAAACACAGCATCTGTCATTTACAAGTTTCATACACACTCGTCTAGATGTAGACAGAATAAACAAAGGAATCTTTTGAGGTCAAGTTGTGAAGTGCAACAATAAATAAGGAAACATGGAGTAGAATATAAAACTTAGAGCTAACTGCATTTCAAGAGCAACATGGAGGCTGCTAAAAGAATTCAGCTTTATCTTTTGGCAAAATAGAGGCCTATAATAAACACTGGAATTACACAAGATTTTATTTGTTTTTTTCATTTGCTCTTTTATCTTAGACAAGTCCCTGTTGTACACAATTTTGGTTTTCCTTTTTCTTTTGAAAGTGGCATGATTAGAATTCTCTTTAACAACTAAACCAAAAATTTTTAATGGATTTTATTCTGTAAGGTTTTCTGAAAAGGTTAGCATTTTTCTAAGGTAAAGTAAGGAAAGACTAGATCGACAGCTGGTTTTATAAGTTAGGTGTTTTCAAGTAGGTTGAACCTACAGGTATGCACCTTAGAGGAATTAGCTGAAGAAATAATTGAAATCTTATTTAAATTTGAAGACTGTTGAAGGATGCATGTGACTCTCCAGGAAAATGTGATGTCCTTTTTCAACCTACTTTTAAAGCGAACTGTATGATTGTTAGCCTAAATTAATGCCCAGAAAGATACTGGAACAAATAACTTATAAAATATCCAGAGGATGATGAGTAGCAGGGATTTCTGGGGAGGAATCTGCATCACACAAACCAGTCTGTCTGTGGGAGGGTAATAAGAATGCACAGCACAGGTCTGTAGACCCAGGAAACTCGTGGAGACCTTGTGGGCATCAGCTGTGTAACAGGAACTGTTTTTTCTTTTTGAAGGATCTCTAGTCCAAGGAGAAATTAGCAGTAGTTCGTCATCAGACTGAAAAGATGTATTAACCGTAAGGCTTAAAATGTTTCTGTCCAGAGTCTGTTAAAATTCACCATTTTCATTAACTATTCCAGCAATAGACTGCTGAATATGTTTATTGAGGTTTACAGATCTGAGAAGTGCTGTTTGCGCTATGGAGGTCAGAATCCAGAATAGCTCCTGAAAATGTAAAGAAAAACATTCTAGAATTCACTAAGGGCAGGGTCATTTGGCCACTGTTAGTTGTGGGGAAAAGAATTTCCTTTTTTGTTCCCCAAATGATCTAAACTGACTGTCGTGGTTTAACCTCAGCCAGCAACTAAGCACCACGCAGCTGCTCACTCACTGCCCCTCCCCCCCCCCACCCAGTGGGATGGGGGAGAGAACTGGGAAAAAAAAAGTAAAACTCGTGGGTTGAGATAAGAACAGTTCAATAGAACAGAAAAGAAGAAACTAATAATGATAATAACAACAACAATAAAATGACAATAATAAAAATAAAAGCATTGGAATATACAAATGATGCACAGTGCAATTGCTCACCACCTGCTGACCGACGCCCAGCTAGTCCTCGAGCAGCAATTCCCCCGAGCCCCACTCCCCCACTTTATATACTGGGCATGACATCACATGGTATGGAATACCCCTTTGGCCAGTTTGGGTCAGCTGCCCTGGCTGTGCCACCTCCCAACTTCTTGTGCCCCTCCAGCTTTCTTGCTGGCTGGGCATCAGCAGCTGAAAAATCCTTGACTATAGTCTAAACACTACTTAGCAACAGCTGAAAACATCAGCGTCTTATCAACATTCTTCTCATACTGAATTCAAAACATAGCACTGTACCAGCTACTCGGAAGACAATTAACTCTATCCCAGCTGAAACCAGGACACTGACATGGGATGCATTATAAGCGTGAAAGAGCTTTTCCATTCTGCAAAGCAGTGATGAGGCTTGCGCTGGATCACTGTGGTGAGGCTTAGGTACTATACTTGAAGAAAGATGTGGAGCAATTGAAGATAATCAGGAAAAAACCATCAAAAATTATTTAGAAATCTAGAAAACACAAGGGAACAGGAAACACTGAAAGAACTAAGTTCATACAGTCTAAAGAAGGTAAGATAAAGGCGTGACAGGTATTAGGAATTGTAAAATGCTGATGCAGGAAAGAAATAGTCTAGTGAGGAAGTAGCAATCTTGAATTTCAGAGAGGGAAATTTAGACCAGGTGCTAGGAAAGGGTTTTGAAAGGTAAGAATAGAGAAGTACTGATACGTGACTTAGGGGTCTTGTGGACTCTCCAATAGTAAAGGTTTTTAAAAATAGATGAGAAATACTGTGAGAAATAGCTAAACTAGAACTGATCCTGCCTCTAGGTAATAGGGTAGACTAGCTGGATGATCCCTCCCAGCTCTGTTTTCTATTACCTTTCTTTTTTAGCCATCAGGTGTACATCCCAAGGCTCCAGTTACATGTGTTTTCACACTTTCCCCTCATGTTTAGCTTTTAGGAGGAAGGAATCACTCTCCCATGTTAATGACTAGACTTTCTACTAGTTTTACCAAGGTATCCTTGGAAGGCTCCATATACTAGGTACATATGCAAGGCAAGCATCAGTATTCATAGATGATTGTTAAAAACTGGAGCACCATTGCCAGAATTAACATTACTGAATAGTGTTTAGTCATTCCATTGTATTCAAGTAAACCCCTCATTTAGAAAGGTATTTTGGTTTTCATATTCTTTTAATTAATTAAATTATTTGCAGCGTAGTCTAAAATTTTTTGAGTCTCTGAGCCACAAGAGGGAAAAAGTAGTTCTAAAATCTGGGTTTCCCCATTTTGATCCCTAGTCGGGTCCAGTAAGTAACAGTCGGTTTTATTATTTATTATGCATTATTCATTGTGCCATCTCTTTTTATGACTCTGAAGTGATTTGTATGCTGTTGTAGAAGGTAGAGCCTTATTGTCTGTCAATGTACACGTTCCTTGAATTTCTCATTTTATTTGCAAAAATAATAAAAATTCTGCATCTTACAGTTCTTGGTCAAAAAGTTCCATTATCCTCTTCTGGAACATGGTCTTATATGAAGAAAAAGCATACCAAGCACAGCTATTCTACTATTATTATTATTTAAATTATTCCTCTGTATTATTGGTTTTGAATATTTATTAGTTTTTTGATAACCTCTTTCATTATTCATAAAGGGTAGCCACACAGTTTGATGAAAAAAGCAGTGCAATGAAACCTTATTTTGCATAGCTGGTGTCTTTCATACAAACTGTTCTCCAGTGCTTTTTTTTAAAGAAGGACCGCAAGGTGCTGTGAACCTCTGCCGTGTTTCTTACAACATCCCGTCCCTATTGGTTTTAGTGGGAGGGGAAATCATCTAGCACTTCACCACCCTATACACTCTGGCATGGTTAGGGATGAAATAATAAATATCCCCCAAGAGAGATGGAAATGAAGAGGCAAAGGTCAGGAAAGAAAGATGTCTTTTCACATAAGACATGAAAAACGTATGAAAAATTACTGACAGAGAGAGGAAGAGAATGGAATGTTGTTTTAGGTGATTTATGGGATTTTCTTTCGAAGCCCACAAGACTCCAAGGAAATAAGGACGATTGCTGTACTGACTGCAGTATCTGTGTGTATGTTGAGTGTCTGACAGGAGTCAGCATCAAATCCTTCACAGGAAGGCATAAAACCCTACAGTAAGCAGATTGGGGAAGGATTATTTTTATGTACTAGGTCTCATCCTCATCTCTAATATGTATAGGTTTGCTTAAACCATGACGTATAAGGTTTAGTATCTATTCTAAAAGGTTTCTCATCACTACAGGTATGCATTGCTCTTCTTAGCGTTCTTGTTATCAGTATACCTACAAAGTACTCTTTAGACATATTGGTAGATATTTCGTCTCAACAGTGTTTTGCATCAGTGATCTCTTAGTCTGATAATCCAGCTTTTGTGTAGATGGATGCTTCTGTTTATTGCTTTTGAATTTGACATGTTCTACCTTCATTGACTATCCCCTTTCTCTTGTTTTATATTTTTGACTCATGTCTCTCTCTCCTCAACTTGCATTACTGTGACGACTACTAAAACTTAGAATATCTTTTGACCAACTGCCTTGTTTTTATTAAATCCTCCACTTCATCTCTGCCAGACTATGTAGTGAATTTGGCATTTTAATGTATCTGACGTCTTGTTTAATTGCACCAGTCTCTTACGTGATACAAGTCCTTTGCCTAGACAGCCTGCTTAAAAGCTGAAATCAAAATGGGCTTCAGGAAAGGTCACTTTTTGTGTTAATACTGTACATCAGTGTGAAGCTTACTTGACTCTGAAGAGACTGGATTTAAAAAAACATGATAGTCCGGTGTAGGATTATTGACCAATTTCTTTTTGTTTCCAGCTGAGTTGCCAGGATCATCTGCAATCAAGCTCTCCTCCTTGCGTGATCTTCCAGCTCAGCTGCAAGAATTGTACCAGCAGGGCTTCGTCTTGGCTGCTGTCCACCCTTTCGTGCAACCAACTGATGAAAAAGAGAAAACTCCCCAGGAACAAATCTTCAGGGCTGTGCTTATCAAGAAAACAGAAAGGTAAAGCACTTCCAGTGAACTGGGATAAAAATAGACAATGTGATTTCCTGCTGAGTTTTGACCTACATCAGGAAATTATAGCAGAGTTTACTGTGCAAGACTTGATTTTTTTTTTTTTATTTTATTTTTTTTTCTGGTGGGCTTGAATAGGCTTAACATGTTCTTCATGTTTACAATTCATCTGCAGTTTGGCAGACAACTCGGAGAATAACAAGTTGAAATATGCTCTGTATTTTGGGATGTGTTGTCATGAGAGGCAAACAAACAAGCCCTATGCCTGACAATTTGTGAGGATGGTCCTGTTGGTACCCTTTAAGAATTTATTAGATTAAATTAAGACAGAAGAAATGTTTGCTTAGAAAAGGCATATTTGTTTTTAGACTATTACAGTTAATGCAGTTAATTTGAGAACTGCAGTACTAATGCATACTTCTTAAATTTATGTGTAGACTTTAGGCCCTTCTTTCCTCTAAACAATACAAGTTCTTTTAATTTTTCAGTCTGTGCAAACTCCTTAAATAAAAAGATGACTCTCCTGCTTTGTTCAGTCTCTTAAAACATATTAAGAATATTTTAAATAATCAAAGTCTGAAGATGAATAAACAAACAGGAATGCTGTTCTTTTATGTTTTAATCTGATTTTAAAAAAATCAATAGAATGTGCTGCTAAATAGCCCAGAAGAAAATTAAAATATGAATATTTTTAAACATATATTTATGATTTTTAGGTAATGATTTAAAACATAATTTAACGTTATCTGATCACCCACAACTCTGCAGCTACCTATGTTTGTTGTAGCCATTCCATACAATTTTCCTACGTTAGTTGCATTCCCCAGTCCACCCCTTCTTATAGTGACCTACATTGAAGGCTGGGGGATAATTAAACCTCCATTTGTCAATCCTAGTCCTTCTCTTCACGCTGATGCTTGAAGGAAAGGAGGTAACTGTTTTAGACACCTCTTTAAAACGAAAGTAAAACCACCTGGTAATCAATCGGTAGCAATTACGGACAGGGTCGAAGTTCAGTCTGTGACCTAAGGAAAAAGTTTTGCATTTCATTAGCAAATCTATGTAGGCATTAGATGTTGCAGGCAGTTTTAGCTTCTAAAATAACTCTCAATTTATCTTGACTTGATTTTAGCTTTATTAATACAGAACTTCATGCTGGCTTGCCTGATACTATTGTTTAAAGAGTTTCCGTTTTTATGGTGAAAACATAAAATGTTTGGCTGAACAGTGGACTTTTAGTAATATTGGGCTGAGCTTGCCTGGTTTTGGGGCCTTGCTTTCGCTGCCTACAAAATGCCCTGCTGCAAATAATGAAAGTATTTACAGGCATGAGTTTGCAATGTTAAGTAAGCGCTTAAGCACTTCTGCGGGTTTGGGGTCCAAGGGTTCAGCATCTTCCAGGACTGAGCTGTGAAGACACATCACGGAAAAACAGCATCCTTCTTAGCAGAGCGATACGGTCTTCAATCCAGAGCGCTCAGTGTGTCACTGCTGTCTCGTAACGTATCCAGTAGTTTACATCTGTGCAGAATGATTGTGAAAGAGGACAAAATCTTAATTGCCTACTCACTCACTTGGGTGCCAGTGTTTCACACGCTTTAGACAGCTGTAAATGACTGTACAAAATTGAAGACAGTAGAGAGCCTTGAACCAATTATATTTCCTCTTACGTTCACACTCCATTTCTTTGCATTCCCTTATCTGTCATTTCTGACTGCCTAGGGAAGCGGAAGAGACTTGGTGCAGTGGGGAAAAAAACAGGCAAGTACCAGAAAGGGAAATGACATCAGTTTGGTGTTTCGTGTAGTTTAAATGTTCCCGAGTTTGGCTGAGAGTATGCGAGAAGCTGCTTCCATAGTGTGTGGGTGCAACGAATGTTTGCATTGCCAAGTGCAATGAAGAGAGATGGGTGTTACACAGATTTCAGATGATTATGGCCTGCATAGAGACCAGCTGTATTTGAACCATGAGTTTATCCCATTCCACCAACAGCTGAGGAGAAAAAATACATGACAGTAGGGGAAAAAAAGGTGTCGTGGTTTAACCCCAGCCAGCAACTAAGCATCACGCAGCCGCTCACTCACTCCCCCCCGCACCCAGTGGGATGGGGGAGAAAATCGGGAAAAGAAGCAAAACCCGTGGGTTGAGATAAGAACAGTTTAATAGAACAGAAAAGAAGAAACTAATAATGATAATGATAACACTAATAAGATGACAACAGCGATAATGAAAGGATTGGAATGTACAAATGATGCGCAGTGCAATTGCTCAGCACCAGCCGACCGACACCCAGCCAGTCCCCGAGCGGCGATTCCCCGCCCCTACTTCCCAGTTCCTATACTAGATGGGACGTCCCATGGTATGGAATACCCCGTTGGCCAGTTTGGGTCAGATGCCCTGGCCGTGTCCTGTGCCAACTTCTTGTGCCCCTCCAGCTTTCTCGCTGGCCTGGGCATGAGAAGGTGAAAAATCCTTCACTTTAGACTAAACACTACTGAGCAACAACTGAAAACATCAGTGTTATCAACATTCTTCACATACTGAACTCAAAACATAGCACTGTACCAGCTACTAGGAAGACAGTTAACGATATCCCAGCTGAAACCAGGACAGTATCCACCCCTTATTCTATACCATTGATGTCATGCTCAGTTCCCATACCTTTAGTTACATCCTGGTCAATCATCATCACCTTTCCATCCCTTTGAGACATATGAACAATGACATACTGTTCATTTTTTTAATTAACCTTTCTCATTATGCTGCTGATAAAGAATAAATGATACTTTTTTCACTGAGGACTATCAGGTCTCTTGCATCTGTAGGCTGTCTCTGTATAAAGCAGTTGAACTCTTGGGTAGAAGTTAAGGTCTGCTTAGGATATTTGTTGATCAGATGAGTGTTTATTTCTGTCATAAGATTTTAGGAGTATAAGTAGTCCAGCTACAGTTGTAGGATCACTAGTAACATCATTTATGCTCTAAGTACAAAGTGGTCTCCTGCCGTTTTCTGTAACGGTGGTGCCAGGCATTCATGGGGAGCCAAGGAGTCATAAAAAGCTCTGTACCTTGGTGTGGGGCCCACCCTTGGGCTTCCTGGGCACTTTCTGCAAAACACCTGAGGCTGTAGCTCCTTTCTTACTGCAGATGTTTCACCACGGATGGTTTCAATGCTATATGCTTCATCTGACAGTTATCTGGCAGATACCAGGTGCGGTTTTTCACCTTGCTATTTTTGTTGCCTGAATGGAACAGAAATGAAATGTTGTATTAGTGCCTTTTTGGTAACGTCAATTCTGTGTATACAGAGACAGAACTGAACACCTGAATTAGTCTTTAGTCAGTGTTGCACTTTTATATTGCAGTTTTATGTTTTAAAATGAATACTGTTGACTCACATTTTGAGGGCTTAGTTTTGTAGCACTGCCAGTCCAAAGGTAGGAAGAGGCTATACTAGCTGCAGCAGATGATGTATGTCAGGAACTACATGCTGCTGCTATCGGTGAGATTTGCAGTGCCTTAATTTGTTCAAGAATAAAATGGAAAAGGTAGTGCTTAGACATGATATGCATTAAAACTCATGGAAAAAGTACCTATTAGTGTTATTCCTCCTATTTTGCCATTGTCCTGGAGTTTTAAAATACTATGAATTTGCAATGTCATTGTACATTTAAGGTGACTTTTAAGGTCACTATGATAGTTTTGTGTTTAACCTGTACTGGTATCTCTTTGGCTTCGTTATCTTAGCTATCTAATAATTTCTGGTAAATAAGGAAGTAGGAGTCATTGCTGCTCCAGGACATTTGAGGAAACGCATTCCTAACATATATGGAAGCTGTAAATGTTGAAAAGCAAGGTTTGTCCCTCGAAAATGTTAGGGAGAACATGGAAGTAAAGGACGGATTTATTTTTTTTTTAAATCAACATTACAATTGTTTGCACTGCAAAAAATGTCATGTGCAATTAAAGTAAATTAAGTAAATATAGGAGTGTTTAATTCTTTAGAGGCACTGGGCATGAAGGTAGTCTACCAAGTAGCTGAAGGACTCTGCCATTGCTCTCATTAAACTTAATATAATAATTTTAAATATTTCTGTGGCACCTAATTGCATTGTGCACGCTAACAAGTTGATTGGAAGTGGTTTGGAAGTTGAATAGAATAGAGTTGGCTAAGGAATAGTAACTTCAATACACCTGTGAATACTTTCTCTTTCGTTCTCCCTCTAAATTTCAATGGACTTCTTAATTAAAAAGCAATTGACTGTTTTACTGTCTGTGCTGAGTTCTGAGATACTTGGGTTTCTTGGAGAAGGCATCTTGTAAAAAAATATGCAAAGAAAAATCTTCAAGCCCAGGGTTTTACAGGTTTTTTTGCTGAATGTAGGGAAGGCTCCAGGTGTGAAGTATAGCCCCTGGCCTGCTGGTTCGCATTGATTCACGCTTGAGAAAAGTTGATTCACACTGATTTACACTTGAAGACAAGAATCTCAGGAAAAGGGATATATGGTGGTACCCTGGAAAGTGCGAACGTGTGACAGCGTATCTCTCCTGGCGAAAGGGACAGGGAAAGGTCCATGCATTTGTGAGGTTCTGTCTAACTGAGATAAGGAGAGTAGCATGTATGTTGCTTACATTCCCTCAAGGAACAGAGACTGTTAGTTCCTAGTGTGTGTAATAACCTTTCTCTCTTCACCTATTTATTTCCATACTCGCAAGTTTTTAATATAACAATCTCTGTTTAGGTGGTTTGTGCATGTTACTATATTTTGGACAGCTTGTGGTTGTTGCAGATAACCTGTTCTCTGCAAAGAAATCACAGTCAGACCCTGAACAAAAATGTAACAAACCCATAGCACAAAGCTGCTTTAATTTATTCTGAGCTCCATGTAATGTCACACCCTGTCTGGTATCTTAAAGTTTCAAAATTCAATATCAATTAAAATGTTTTAATTTCCCTTTCTAAATACCGTGCACAAGAAATCAAGCTCC